CCTATCGGCGTCTTCTTCAACTGTGCCCTCTTCACAGCACGGACTCACTCATGGAAACAGTTCAGCTGTGGCAGGCTCTCAGCCTTTTTGCCTGCTTAGTAGAGTCCCCTGCTTCCTTCCTGTCCACAAGGTCCTGTGCTCTCTCCCAATCCTATCAAGGAACCTGTGACATCTGAGTACCTTAATAATAGACTTCCTTTCTGGTCGGTAAGCTCCTGAAAGGTGGGGATTTATTATTCATCGTTACAGTCCTAGCACCTAGCAGAGATTCAGGTATATAACAGGTGTTTTCACACACATGCAAACACACACACACACACACCCTGACACATGAGTAAAAGCAAATTCAGGACTTTAAGCTATTGATGGTGGTGGAATGGAGACAAAGACTAGCAAGGAGATTAAAGCAAGATAAATAATGCAGGCCGTCAGGCTTGGCCACAAGAAGAACATACACTAGTAATTTTTTTAAAGTTTTTTTTTTCTTAAAATGTAAGAGCTGTATTGAGCGTGTGAGTATGGATGCACCAGAAGTGGGTGTCCAATCCACTGGAGCTGGAGTTAGAGGCTACCTGACATGCGTGCTGGGATCAGAACTCCCATCCTCTACCAGAGCAGCAGACATTCTTAGACCACAGAGTCATTTCTCCAGCCCCAACTTATAAATACCTTTAACATGAACCACAACATGCAAACGCCCAACTCTGATTAAGCCCTTTGAAAACCAACAGAAGATGGCGGAGAAGGCATGTGAGAATACCGCTGAGTACTTAAACTGCCAAGAATATCAACAACAATGTGAGATGGTGCTCACTGGTAGAGCACTCTGCCCAAGGTCTGTGAGGTCCTGAATTCATTCCCCAGACTACACAAACAAACTACAGCGACAAACCCTACGTCATCTGGAGCAACAGTCATGGGAACTGAGTGATTTTTGTGTGCCGGGCATTTTATATATGTTATAACCTTTAGTCTTCATTCAAACGTTATAAACTAAAGCTTATTTACTGTACCGTTTCTTCTCTTCTGGGTGTTCTGTCGACATAGACGTAATGTGCCCAATGCCCATACAAGTTAGCAGAAGGCATCAGATTCCCTGCAACTGGAGTTACGGGACGTTGTGACCTGCCCTGTGCATGCTGAGAACCACACCTGGGTACTTTAGAAGAACAGCCAGCACTCTCTTAACTGATGAGCCATCTCTTCAGCCCCTACACAGGCAAGAAAATCAAAGCTTAACAAACTTAAAAACTGGTCCAAGCCCAAATATAGAAAACAGAAGGCCTGGCATTTAAAGACAAATGTGCTTGACTCTGATCCTACCTTTTGAACATAATTATGGGGTGCTAATAGCATAAAGTAATTAAACACATCTTAGATTTTGTTTGTTTGCTTGTTTGTTTGTTTTGTTTCTTAAGAAAAGGCCTCATTTTGTTGCTCAAGCTATCCTGGTACTCTCTATGTAGACTAGGCTGGCCTAGAATTCACAGAGATATACCTGTCTCTGACTCCAGATGTATGCCACCAAACCAGACCATTGGATCTGTTTTTAAATATGAAATTAATATGAATTGGGGCTGGAGAGATGGCTTATCAATTAAGAGCACTGGCTGCTCTTCCAGAGGCTCCAGGTCAAATTCTCAGCACCCACATGACAGCTCACAACTGTCTGTAACTCCAGTCCCAGGGCTTCTGGCACATTTACACAGATATACATGCAAGCAAAACACCAATAAACATAAAATAAAAATAAATTATATATTTAAAAACAAAGAAGAACATTTATTGCTGGGTAGTGGTGGCACCAGGCAATGGTGTCACATGCCTTTAATCCCAGTACTTGGGAGGTAGAAATAGGCAGATCTCTGAGTTTGAAGTCAGCCTGGTCTACATAGTGAGTTCCAGGACAGCAAGGGCTACACAGAGAAACCCTGTCTCAAAAATACAAAATTAAAACAACAAAAACAAAAAAAAGGAAAGAAAGAAAGAAAGAAAGAAAGAAAGAAA